TTATCCGATTAATCGATGGAATAATCTGTAGAATACTCGATTACTCAAATAATTGATAGCTACAGCCCTAGTTTGGACTCATTCTGACGGCACCCATTCCCTGCAGAGGGTTCACTGGTGAGCAAGTGATCTAATGCTACATTTCTCCAAATCTGATGATGAAACAAACTCATCTACATCTTGGATGGTCTTTGCGAGTCTTCATGTGCACTTTGAGTATTGCTTTATTATTATTATTATTGCAGATGAGCTGGACTCTTTGGCCATAAAGGTCTTCTGACCTGCGGGAGGCCCGAGCTTTGAAGAGCACCCCCAAAGATTATTCCACACAGCATTAACCTTTCTGCAGCTCTGATCTGGGCTTGGACTAGGCACACGCATGCTGAGCACTTCAGCTGCGCGCACACACTTTTGAATTTCACAATACAGGAAAGTGGAACACATGCTTATGCAAAGATAGCATCTCACAGAGTACTGAGGCGTTACTGATTCGGGCTGGTTGTGGTTTTTATTGGATTACTGGGTGTTGAATGTCATTTGTGATTTAATGAACATTTTGAGGCGTCTCACAGGTAAAGGTATAAAGCTTCTGTTCCTGTGATTGCTTTTTATGAGCAAGTAAAAAGTTGTGCAGCACTTTTCAAACTGGTTTCTCAGGGATGCAAAACATTCTAGTTTTTTAGAAAATGTATTTTGGTGCTGTCATTGTAAACCTCCACTTAAATATGTATTTATTTATTTTTTATATTCAGCAAATTTGATATTACTATTTAACCAATCAGGAGTCATTAAAATAAATTGTTATTTGATGATTCATTATTAGATAATTAATGGTTTTAGTAGCAAAATAAAGTGTCTTCGATACACTGTTAACTTTTTTTTAAATGAATCTAAAGATTACTTTCCCAGTGGATCTGTTCATTATTTTAAAATTAGTTGATTAATCCTTTGGTTAACTCATTATACCATTATTTGATGCTCATTTTCAACAAGCCCGGGAGCTGCCTTTTTTGGGAATGAATGATAACAATATGATGCATAATTCCATGCAAATCGTTGCATTTACGCAATCAACATCATATCAATCGACATATTTTCCAGAGAACATTTTTAGATAGTACACCTAAAAATAAAAATTAAGCCATTTGTACTCAACCTGATGTTCTAATGACCTTCTTTCTTTTTTTAGACCGCAAAACAAGTTTTGCTAAAAATGTCCTGCTTATACTCGTCCATATAATGGCAGTAAAGCTTGTGTGCTTTTCCTGAGCAAGCCGGAGTGAACTTGTGCTTATGAACAGACTGACCCATTGACCAAATTCAGGATTTTCTGAATTAAATTTTGGCTTGTTTTTCAGCAAAACCATATGCCTTCAGAACACTTGGAGAATACTGTGAAAGAATACTTCTTCATTAAAGCTTGAAGCTGGTTTCTATTCACTGCCATTATGTGGACGAGCACTAGCAGAACATTTCTCATTTAGTGGTCTGAAAAAGAAATGTCATATGCCATTAGAACAACAAATAATGACTGACTTTTCATTTTTGGGTGGACTATCACTTAAACAATTTTCTTTAGTATGATGACAATATAAAACCCAGCTGTATTATTTTGCAATTAGACGGGTCCAGTTATGTTTTTGATAAAAACATTTTTTTTTTTTTAA